CATAGATCTCTTACAAAATGACAGGTGAGAGGATTTCTAGGTTTAACTGGATATTACAAATAATGAGTGCTAATTTTTCTGAGACTGTGACACACTGTGACACCTTGACCCTGTTGCAAAGGCTTATCACCCTTGTCTTAGGGCAATGGAATCTCATGGTTCTTCATGTAGTACAAACATTATTACTGACTAAGAACACACAACACTTTCAGCCAGCCAATTAACCTCTGATGAGATTATTATTCTCTCCCTCATATTGCTATTCACTGAAGCCATACCCTGAATTCTTCCACTCACTTGCCCCCACCAGAAGAAGGGGAAGCTTCTGAGAACTTTTTTAGATCTCACTCAGATCTGTTAAAGACTCCCACTGAGTATTCTGTGCTAACATTTGTGGATGGAAAACTGAAATGAGAGGTTATCAAGCAGGATATGACATCACTAATTTAAGTTCTACTTTAAAATACAGCACTCTCCCTGAGCCAAAATCAGCCCAGAGGGCAGAAGTTATCGCACTTACTAGAGCTTATCAACTAGCCAAAGACCAGAAAGTAACCAAATATACAGAGAGCAGATATGGAGTAGCACATGATTTGGAGATGCTTTGGAAACATAGGGTGCTTATCACCTCTGTTGGAACCTCCATCAAAAGTGGACAAATTAGGAACTTTTAGATGCACTCTTCTTCCTATAGAGATGGCCATCATCATGATTGTGGCTCAAGCAAAAAGAATCATATTGAAGCTGAATAAAATGTTCTCTCAGATCATTATGTCAAACAAGCAGCCTTAACCAACGTTATAGTCTATGCACATCCTCAAAGGATAAATTTCTGAAATGATTCAAAGAAATCACTATAAAATATCAATGTTTAGCCCCTGATTTCAAAGAGAAAGAATGAGAAAAACGTGGTTGCACTCTTCACTCAGATAATCTCTGGTTCTCTCAGGACAACCACTTGATAGCATCAGATGATTTCAAATGGATATTAGCTAAATTTCTCCATGAAACTACTCATCCTCCTGTAGACAAATGTCCTGTCTTAAATCAGTTTTGGTGGGAAAACTTTAAAAAGACAGCTGAAGTTATTTTCAGGTCATGTGTTATCTGTCAACAGCATAACCCTGGAAAAACTACGAAGGTGAAACAGCCAGGAACCAAGACCTCAGGGGCCTTTTCAATGCCTTCAGATGGATTTTCTCAGCTTCTACTCTCCACGAGATGTGAATACGTTTTAGTTATTGTACATCTACTTTCAGAATAGATTGAAGCACTTCCTTGCCAAAAACCCACAGCCCTTACAGTGGCTAAAAAAGCTGTTTGATTTTGTGTTTCCAACCCAAAGCAGATGAACTTTTTGTTTTAAACAAATGTCAATCACACCCAGTCTTTTTTTTTTTTGGTTGGAAGATTGTCCCTGAGTTAACATCTGTTGGCAATCTTCATCTTTTTTTTTCTTTCTCTTACTGTCTCCCCAAAGCCACAGTACATAGTTGTGTATCCTGGTTGTAGGTCATTCTAGTTCCTCTACGTGGGAGGCTGCCACAGCATGGCTTGATGAGTGGTGCATAAGTCCGCACCCAAGATCTGAACTGGCAAACCCTGGGCCCCCAAAGCGGAGTGCATGAACTTAACCACTTGGCCATGGGGCTGGCCCCAAGATGAACTTTTATACTAAATGACTGAGGAACACATTTTAGGGGAATCATTATAAAAGAACTCTCTAAGGCATTACCCCTTACTCAAAAACCACTGCCCTTACCACCCACAATCTTCTGGAAAAGTTGAAAGAACCAATATCATCCTTAAATTAAAATTAGCAAAACCTTTCACAAACTGTTGAACTCCTTTGACCAAATGTACTCCCAGTAGCCCTTATGGCCATAGAGTTCACTCGCTTGAGGACACATCATTTATCACCTCGTGAATTGGTAACTGGAAGGTCCGTGCATTTTAGGACTTCACCTCTGATATTAGACTCTGCCCTGCTGCATGCAGTTATGGCAAAATATTGCAAGAGATGCATGTATTATACCCAATCCTATCACGAGTAATTTAAGGCCACTTTCTAATGACATTCTTAAACAGATTCTTCATGATCTTGAACTAGAAGATTCCGTCCATTGGAAAAGACATCAGAGAAAAACTGTTCTTGAATCTCATTGGAAAGGACCTTATGAAGCACTGTTAACAACAAATGCAGCAGTGAAACTCCAGGTAGTCCATCCTTAGGTTCATATTTTACAACCAAACAAGGAATTCCAAAGTTGACCCAATTGCAAGGCTACTGCATTAGAGCCTTTCAAGTGGAGGATTCTCAGAGATCCTCTAGAAATAGCCAATCTTTGGAAGTATGCAACTGACCCAAGACCCTCAAAACAAGCTGATGACCTCAGATAGTGGACAGGTTTCACCCAATAAGACCAAGACCCCTATCTAATTCCTTTTTGGTTTTTGCTTGCTTATAATACTTTTTCTTTGATTTTCTATAACCATCTTGTCATTCCTGTAATGATATTTTTCTCTTTTCTTTCCTCATTGTAATTGTTAGGTCCAAACACACTCATTCTAAAGCCATTCTTAGATTAGCCTCCGCCTTCAATCTTACTGACTGTTGGATGTGTCATTGGTCACCAGACTCCCATGATAAAAATCTCTGAGAGATTCCAGACTCATCAGATAAAACCATAGGGAATTACAGCTGATGGCATTTGCACTTGCACCTACGTGAACAAATGACCTTAAATCAATCTGTGACTTTGCTAGTGTCCCTCTCTCCCAGCAAAAGTAACCAACTACTACAATCCATTGATCAGACTCTAGATAATTCTAAAGTTGAACTTAACAACTTTCATAGGGTGCTGGGCCAAATCATTGCCAACTCTAAGAGACTAATAGAGATCCAAATATGTAACCCAGCTAACGAAATGTCGTAGTTCTTACCTTGTCTCATGAACAACTCTTTTATTCCTGACACCAAGGTTACTATTCCAGTAGTACAGGATAGTACTATCTTTGTGGCCTGGATGCCTGGTCTTGTTTGCTTCAGACTAACACCTCATGTACTTTAGGAATAGTATTCTGACACTTGTCTGTACATAGAGATTGTAATTCTATAAATCACCAGGGCTGAAAATTCCAACCCAGACAAGAGCTCCAAAATGAGGCCCATCCTTCATTATTCTTGCACTCCAACTGGGGGAATTATTAATTCATTCTTTATGTGAACAATCAGAGCAGTGTTCCCAATGGTCAGAATTATACAAATAGAAAGGACTGTAATAAACTTATCACTAACTCTGGCAGAAGTCATTAACAATACTACCTCTGCCCTAGATGGACTAGAGAGCAGTCTAAACTTGTTGGCACAAGTATTGATGGGCAATCTCACTGCTCTAGATTTCTTGTTAGCTAGCTATGGTGGCAACTAATTGCTAATACTTCTAGCTGTATTTGGATCAATAAAACATACAAGATAGAGTAGGCCATATACCTATGGCCTATGGGATTTGTTCTCTTGGCCTGAGTTTGGTAGTTGGGATTCCTGGTTCCAAATCTCTTACAAGGCTTATTAGTTATTTTTTTTATAGTGATCTTGATGCTGAACCATTGTACTCTATCCAGAGTCTTAAATGCTTCTGTACAGCTGCTCTCTCATCAGATGATCACCATGATGATACAACAACAAAAAGGTCAAGAAAATCTCACAGTATTATCAACTATGGAGACAATTAGACAATCCTCAAGAAGGAAAGAGCTGAATCTCTAGAATTCCATGAATTATTCAACCTCTCACTCTCAAGAGAATGACCAAAAGAAAGGATGAAGAGGCTGACTATACAAACAGACAATGGTCAGACCATACATGACAATAGAACTCTGACCTACAACTTTTGCAAAACCTAGCCCAGGAAGTCAAACCACAACCTCTGCAGCAGTTGGCCTAGAATGGTCAGGACTTCGTCAATGACTATCTGCTTCCCTATTTTGTCCACTCTTCTAACACAAGACCAAGCAGAGACAACCAAATATGCTCCCCAAACCAATCATGTAAAATGCTCCACTTCTATTTAGCCTGCCTCCAGCTTCCTCATGCCAACAACTTTCAATCAGAGTGTAACTGAAGTCCTCTCCTTTTTGCACCATAAAGTTTTCCCACCATTCTGCCTGGCTTTAAGTCTCTGCCAAACACAAAGTGACGGTGGCTGACTCCCTTGCCATAGCAAGCTCTGAATAAATAGCCTCTGTTTGTCTTTATTTGGGTGATCTTTATTTACACACAGAAAATAGAGGAGAGGGACAGATCTTCACTGAACCCTGAGAGAAAAAGCCATGATTTGATTCACAGGGTTATTAGAAATCCAGTCCTGTCCCTGGATCTCAGGTCCCTCGAAACAAATCCATGCATTCCAAAGTAGGTTTGTTCAGGTTCTTTAAAAGAAAAAGCTATTCCATACTACTACATCTTTTAATTTTAAAAAAGTCCATTATCCAGTTGTCTTCAACAACAAACAAATTATTAAATCGTATGTCTATAGGCAACATCCCGATGAAAATGTTGGTTTGTTTAATTGGTGGCTATTATGACACTGGAGCCTGAGATTACATGAAAATTGAGTTTTTACTGTCTATATAGGTGATAAATCATATTTCATTTGAGACTGGAGTCTAATTTACAGCTTATGGCTTTTATATTACCTGTTGGCATGCTAAAAGAGGATGATGTAGACAGCTAAATAAACCATACAAATTGTTAAAAATTCAAATATTCACTTAGCAGAATCTACTAAACCAATGAGTTTGGTTGATATGAGCAATCAGATATGCAGATTTTTTAAAAGAAAGTGCCATTTTGGGGAGACGTACTTGCATAGTGTTTTGGGTGTTTTTGTTTCCAAAAATATCCATTATTCAAATATTTCTACAACTGAAGTGGAACTTGATGATCTTTCTTTTACAAAAAGAAAACTGCCATCCTAATTTTATTTTTTTTGTTTTAGGTGTGGTTCTAGAATGGAAGAAACCCTGGAACAACTCTGAGAACTCATTCTGCCTCCTGATGGACAGAAGGAGGAATACTCGGCAGTCATTTAGGGCTCAGAAGTCAAGCACCATCAACAGAAATGCTCCCAACACAGAGACTGCAGAGAGTGGCCTGCTGAGCTGGGAAAATGGTTGGTAAGATCTTTATTTAGGTAATGCCATGTGCATCTGAAATGACTATTAAAAATGTAGGATAAATTTATAAGCCACGCCTTTCAAAAATACAGCTTGTAAGACTTCTGGATCTTGGACATAACCTGTAGGAATACTGGAGAGCAATATTAATGAAAGACCCTCAAACTACAGCTGATAACCAATAAGGGCTTTGGCAGAATCGATATCTAGAGCCAGAAAAATCTCCTGTTAGACCTTTGATCTCCCAGCAACTGGAGGGATAAAGGTTCAACTCACTTGCAAGTTTCACAAGGGTAAATTCTATGTCAGAAAATTCAATAGAAATGATTCAGGGATACCCTTGCTATCACTTCCACTTGGCAGTTAAACTCCTGATATTAGCCCAGTCTGATACCTATTTCTGTGAAACTTTATTCAAGGGCATTAGGTTCCTCCATGATATATTTGGGCATTTTTCTAACCCATCATAGAGTGGCTTAGGTATTATTGGGTGGCAACTTTCTTCCCTAAGTCTGCTAATCCACGCCTTTAGTGAAATCAAACAGAATATCCTCATTACCTCCTCAGAATAGTGATTACACTTCAGAGAATTTTCACATATATCAGGTTATTGGCTTTGAAAGTATATTCCAAAGGCCACCTGGGGTATGAGCAAATGGAGGTTTAGGGGGTCTCACATCAGACCTACTGAGTCAGACTCTCTGGGAATGGGATCCTATAATTTGCATTTTAACAAGCATAGCATGTGAATCTTATGCATAGACATTTCAGAACCACTGCCTGCAATCCTCAATCACTCTTGAAGAGAAGTAAACCAGGGATCTTGTCTCACTTGTTTTCTCAGCAACAAATAAGTGTTTATCGAGAAAATGAGTGAGTGAATTATTAAACATTAGAAATCATTTGAAATATGAGGTAAATAAAAGTCAAAGATCACTTTTCTGTCTTATATCTTATATATATATATATATATATACCTATATCTTATACTATATGATCAATTTAATTTTGTATCAGACCTGCCTGGGATGCCTGGTAGAAATTAAGATTCCTAGCCGTGCTCCAGACCTACACTCCTTACAATAAGGGGACTTTATTCAGCACTCTGGACAGCAGACACTTTTCACTATTGACAAAACACAGTGAAAATAATGATGACAATTAAATGTGATTTAATTTATTATCACAACAGCCTGAAATAGAGGGTACTGTTGTCTATATTTTATATATGAAGAAACAGAAGGTAAAGAAAATGAATTATTTCCTCACCACTTAGTAAGAAGGAGATTCATTAGCTTAATTCATATCACCAGTTCACAGTGCTTATACCACATGGGAAAAAGAAAGCCTAAACATGGAGAGTGCATTCTCAAATGTTGAGACTGAATAAGGAAAATAGGCAAAGTTGGCATACCATATAATTGTTTCTAGTAAATCAAATCAGTAAGTATTCAGTGATAGTCTCTTAGGTACATTAAAAGTTAAATAGTAATACTGGAGTCAGATATCAAGGCAAGACAACAATACAGAACAGTTTCAAGATGTGTCTCATTCTCAAATTAATGGCCAAGAGAAAATCAACTATGAATCCAATGGTGGAAAAGCAGATCACGACTGCAATGAACTGAGAGGGCATCTGGGAAAAGGGATTCAAGCTGGACTTTGGAGGGAGATAAGATTCAATAGTTCAAATGCAGTGAACAAGGTGTTCTTTTCATCTGCTTATTCGACATTTACTGGATTAGCTTTTAAATGCCAAAAATGATGTTAATTAACAGGGTGACTGTTTTCCCAATATTCCATCCTTTGGGAATTGTCAATCTCCCATTTCCTGTGGTTTGAGTGAGGCTGACCACATCCACCTGCCTCAAGAGTAGACACATGGCTCAAGTGTGAGCATTTAAGTCCTCCATTCCCTTGGCCACAATGGGATAAGCATGGGAGTGAAGATAAACTGATCAGAGTCGCCTCTGCAAGTGCCCTGTCAGAGAAATTAAAAAATACTAACTTTCCCATCATATGAGAGAAAATGCAGTTAACATGCAATCTGCGTGAGAGGAGGTGAGCAAAAGAGGGAGCACTGATAAAAATCATTTGATTCCCTGAACCCAGACTTGCCTGGAGCCTGGACTTTTTCAACATTTGAGTCAATGAATTTCCTTTTATGCTTAAGTTAGTCTGAGTCAGTTTCTTTTCCTTTGTGGCCAAAAGATATTCCAACCAGTAAAGCGATGATCCAGAGTGAAAAATATTCACTGTCATCAAGAAGCTTACAGTGAGATAGTCAAACAAGAATACTAATAATTATAATGCAGTATGATAAATGTTATAATGAATGTAGGCACTAGATGCTATGCTAGCACAGAATAGGACCACCTTATTCCTTATCTAGAGTTAGAAGTATCAAAATTCTGCCACTGAAAGGTATCAGTAGGGATTTATTAGCGTTTATCCTCTCTAACTAATCTTTTTCCTCTGTTATAAGTAGAAATGACAATTCAAACCAATCAGTGTATATTTTCTTCTAAATACATTGCATAAAACCATTAAAAATGGCATTGAAACCACTAAAAAGATTTGCACACATATTCCTTTATTTTCTTGAATTATTAATAAAGTTATAATTTATAAGGAACTTTATGATATGACCTTGCTTTACTAGAGAAACTTTCTCAAACTCAACATCACAAAGCACCATTTACGTTGTCTCAAAACCCTTTATTCTTTAGTTAAGTAGAAAATGCCTATTTTAATGATGACCTTCAGGTCTAGAGACCCTCTGGAGTCAGATAAATATTCACTGCAAATTGCTTTGATGTGTTTTTAGCCTCAGGGGAGTCACTTAAAGACAGAGGGAGCACAAAGTGAGGAAAGGGGAAGAAGCTGAAAGGAGACAATTCTACATGTGTAGTTAATCATGTATATGTTATGTTAACTACAGTAATGGAGAGAAGGGCAGTTACTAGTCATGTTAAAGTTAGGCTGACTTCAAGTTAGAACCAATATTAGTCAATGACTGGAAAAAAAGCAAATTTTGTATGGGATTGTCAAAGGGAAGGAGCACCAAGATTTGGTAAGCTTCATTGTAATTCAAGTGAAGGGAAAAGTCCTAGCTGCTCCAAGAAATACAAGAAACTTGGTGTAAATCCACAGATCAAAGGGTAAAGAATGCTGGGAGGTAGAAGGACAGTGGGCTTCAGAAATACATGGGCAATTCACAAAGTGTACAATCTAAGCAAAAACGATAGATAAATTAAATTCTGTTCCATGGACTAGCTGAATAGTCTTCTATGTAGAGAAAAGAAGAGGAAAAATAACCTCCTAAGATTATTTTCTGCTTGCCAATTCCATGATTTTATGAGGCTGGAGACTTTTGGTGAGCCTGAATGTAAGCAAAGTTAACCCTAGTTAGTGCAAGAGAGCACCAACCCCTTATGACCAAATTGAGTTTGCCTTGGCACGTAAGCAAACTCTAGAAACAGAACTCTTATAGCACAGCTCTCCCTCCAGAAGGAAAGGCAAAGCAGGGGAGAGGAAAACACTTTTGTTTATAGTATAAAACTTGCTGTTTCTAAAAGAGGGTTCAAAGGAAACTAAGCAGTAGATAGTAAACTCCTTAAGGATGCGCACTCTGTTATCTCCATCTCTGTTATTTCTGCCAAGACCCCTCTCATAACTCTGCATGTGCTAGAAGACGATTAATATGAATCTAATGAATGCAGATGGATTAATTAATATTCAGCAAAATAAACAAAACTAAGAGGCAATCACTGGCTTGTTCTACCAAAATAACTGGACCTCCTGTAGCCAAATCTATCTAGGAAAATCTGAGGGTCTAGCATAATGCTTACCTCACAGTAGTTGCTCTAAATAACTGACATTTGAATGAATGAATGAATGAATGAATGAATGCAATCGATTCAAATTGCTGTACTGAGTCTTTCATCCTGATTCATATACACCCCAAATCACTAACACAGCATTCAATGCAGACAGATCATTAACCGAGGCAGAATGGCCAGCTTCTCCTTGCCCTGGTCTCACAGTTTTGACAATGTTAGATGAGCTTGGGATGCACCAGCCAGAAAATTGTCCTCCTCCCAGGAAAAATTCCCCAATTATCAAGATAGTGTCTTCAGTCCCCCTAAGTGAGTTCACGGAGACATACATGCTGACCTTGGGGAAGCAGTACTTTGTCTCTACTTGATCTTATTCAAATGCTGTGTGCCCAAGTCTGTGACTTTGTGGTTTATTTGCAAAAGAGCTTCTGTGTGTAGGCGTGCTGCCTGTTTAGAGAACACTTCTGGTGCCCAGCTCCGGAAGACCGCACACCGTTTAAACAAAGGATCTAAATCCATGGTTACATTTTGTCTCTCTCCACTTCCTTATGCTTGATGGGAAAGGCAAGACACAGAATATTTTCTAAGCAACTGATCTCTGGTTTTTGCCAAGTGACCCTTTAAATGTGGAGTGCTCTGGGGAGGATAGTCGCTCACCTTCTCAGGGGTGGGGGAAGCATACTCACAAATGGGATGAAATTTAATCCAATTCATCTAGTTTATCTGAAATTTCTCTTCAGAGCAGGTAGTGAAGCTAAGTGACACTTCAAAGTCCCCTGTCAGTCCCAAGAGAATGTGAAACCCCATGTAAATGACTGCATTTAAGCTGCCCTGATCCTGATATCCTACTTGTTTACTAGAAGAGCATCAGAATCACACCCTGCACTACCAATAGGGAAGAAATACCAGTCTCGACCCTATTCCAGCGAGGCTTCCTGCTCAACTGCCTATTAATCAAGAACAGAAATAATTTCTTCCTTCAGCTGCAAATGTAGTGACAAAAGCTTCCAAAAGGGAGAAGCTTGAATGTGAATGGAAGCAGCCTAACATCAAAGGAAGGGTTAGTTGAGCAAATTTCTCTACGGCTGCATCATCCCTTAACATAACATAATCCCTGGACCCCTTTTGTTTGAGAATATGAAAAAGTTCTGACTTTC